TGTAATAGACAGTAGATTTCACCTTGATTTTCGACTCCGAGTTTCAGCTCATTTCACCTAGCGTTCCTCTGCAACGCCCGCCGTCATTCAAACTCGCCTCGCCGCTCGCTGCAACTCAGTCTCACCTTTGCCTTGTCGCACTCCCCATCCCTACGACGGTACATAGCAGCAAGAATCTAACCATGGGCCGTTTTGGCCCGGCCGCGCTGATCGCGTGCGCGTCGCTACTGGTCCTTCTCGCGGCACCAACGGTGAAGCCCGACGACTCCGAGCATCCGCTACTAGCTGCTAACGCGGATGGTGAGCGTCTCTAATCACTTGCTGGTCGCGACCCCATGATTGCTTCATCGCACCATGGTCAGTCTGGTCTTTGATCCTGAGCTCCAGACAATTCCTAGCGTTGCGCTCAGGCCGTTGGCTCTGGGCTTTGTATCGCAGCATCGACCCAACCCTCCCCCCCCTCCCCCCGCCGCCCCCAACCCCTCTCCTCGCTCTATTTTTTTCTATTCCTTCTCCTTACTTTTTGGCAGGCGACGAGGGCACCTGGCAGGAGCAATCCCACTCTCAATCGCTGATCTCCAACGCACTCCCAACCTCACCCGTGCCCAACTCCGCCTACCGCCTACTCAAGTCCGCCACCACCCACACGAGTTCCCCCGCGCGCGCAAGCTCCTCCGCCCGCGGAAGCCCCGCGACAACCGCGAGCAAGAAGAAGGGGGGCAAAAAGCAGGAGCAGTCGGTTCAATCGGTGTCATCTGTCGCCACGTCAGCAGGAACAGGAACCGCCCGTAAGACGTCGGCCGCCAAGGGGAAGCGCAAGCGGGGGAAACGGGGAAAAACGGGGGGTGCGGTGAAAGCGACTGACGCAGATAGTTCGCTGCAAAGCGGCGCGGGGACGGCGACGAAGAAAGGGAAGAAGACGACGAAGAAAGGAAAGAAGTCGACGAAGCAAGTCAAGAAGCCGGCTGTTTCGGCAGGCAAAAAGGGGTCCGCTGGAAAGAGGAAGCCCGGCGGGCACAAGTGGCCTCGCAAGGGCGACAAAAACTCCCCTGCGACGAAATCTGCATCTGCGACCAAGACGGCGACGAAGCCTGCGAAGACTTCGCCAGCGTCTGGAAAGAAAGGCAGCGGCCGCAAGTCTGGCAAGGGGAGCAAGAAGAGACCAACTGCTGCGACTGCCCTTGCAGGTATCCCTACCTCCGCTTCTGCCGGCGGGAAGTCCGGCGGGGGCAAAGGCAAGTCCAAGTCAAGCAAGTCGAGCTCGTCTGAAGGATCCGCCTCTCGTGCCGCAACTCCCGCTCGGTCGTCTAAGAACGGCAAGAAGAAAACGACCGTTCCTGACACAAAGGGAGAAAAGTCAACGAAGGCAGGCAAGTCAACGAAGTCGCCCGCGTCGTCCTCTGGAGAAGGCGCGTCGAAATCGGGAAAGGGACCCAAGGGTTCGGGCGCAGATGCGTCCACGCCAAGCAAGGGCTCGAAGCCATCCACCAGCCCCAAATCGCCGCCTCCCAAGGATCAAAGCTCTGATGCCGGCTCGGATGATTCAGGCTCGGATGCAACACCCTCTCCTCCCGCTTCTCCCGCCAAGCCAAGCACGGGGAAGAAGAACAAGCCAGCGCCGCCAGCAGTCGACACCGATAGCGAACCTGCCACTAACGAGGATGGGGGGAGCCCGTCTCCGGCTCCTCCTGCGCAGATGGTGTGTGAGAAGCACAAGGGGCAGCAGCTGATGGTGATGGATGGAAATCTTTTCTTCACCGGTAATGTGGAGAAATGCGAGGCTGCTTGTATCAAGGATGCCACCTGCCTCATGTACACCTTCTCGGGACTCAGCTGTCAGCTATTCACGGCTAATATGACGGCGAGGCCTGTCAAGGCATGCTTCTCGCGTAAGTGCCAGTGGGGGAAGTGTAGAGACGCGGAGGGTGATGGTAGCGAGGAGGACACTAGCGGGGATAGCAGTGGTGGGGATGAGAGTGGGGGAGGTGATGATGGGAGCAGTGGGAGTGACTCCAGTGGAGATGACAGTAGTGGGGGGGATTCAAGTGCGGACGATGGCTCTAGTGACTATGATGGGTCATCGGGCGACGAATCTGGTGCCGATAGTGGTGGGACCATCGACTATGGGGAGTAATTGAAGGCTTGGCGAATGGAATACAACTGGGTAACGAAGCCAGTGCTGGCAAGTACAGCAAGGTTCTAACAAGGTGAACTACTTCTTGGTTTGTCTGGGCGGCTAACCGAACTCACCACCATCAGCGGTTCCCTAAGTGTGTGAAGCATAGGGTTGCTCCAATTTAAATGCTATTGCATTTTTATGATAAATGTTAAATAGAAACATTTATGTAAACCAATCAAACAACCACCTTAAGGTTGATGCATGAATGATGGATTACCGTATTTAAGACAGGTGTATGTGACAACAATGGATTAGTTTAAGGAATTAGTAATTCCTTATTGAGGCTTGCTACAGGGCGTATGATTCGAACAGTCCCGAACCAGGGATAGGGTTCCATACCTTTCAGTTCGAGCCTCCTGGGCCTTTCCGGACCTCGCTTTGATACATCGAAGGCCCTTCGATACCTTTTCTGAACCTTCTGATCCTACGTCCAGGATCACCCTAGGTTTCCTATATATTGTATTGTCTTTCATTTGATTGTCATTCACTCTTTCACAGTTTCGCCATAGCCCTCCGCGCTACTCGGCAGCTCCATTCATAACAATTAGTATATGATAACTGCTGTGAGAATGGGATCCTTTACTTGTTCCATGCTAATATTTAGGGTGCTAAGATTTCTTGTGTAGGGTGCCATCGGGAAACCCCAAAGCCCTATCGATTGGTGGTGGGCTGAGCATGATCTTGGATGCTGGCGTGGACAAAACCATTCAGCGCCTGCCGCGTGGAACCGTCGCCCAAATTACCGCACCATAGCCAGCCCCGCTGTGCTGTTCCGTCGTGCCCCACATCAACGTGGCCCCCGAATTTCGCCGCGCCTGAGGTGAATCCTTTCGCCCGCGGATGGGGGTGGGTGGGTGTAGCAAAGATGCAGCCAGGCAAACCATGGGGTTGTTGGGGTGTGGTGGACACTCATCAGAGACGCCATTCGCTTGCCCTACATTCTAGAACTGGAATCCCAGCATCAGATCCCTTCCAGTTCTGCATCTGACATTGCTCTGAAATTTGTTACCGAGTTCTAGTTTCCAGCCCCAGCCATGTCTTGGCAATCGTACATCGATGATCACCTTATGTGTGCCCTTCCGCACGGAGGACAGCTGAAAGCGGCTGCTATTGTTGGTGAAAATGGCGGTATTTGGGCCCAGAGTGCTGGCTTTCCAGCGGTAAGTTGGGAAATAGATTTAAGCCGACAACCAGTAGTGGCTCTGTTTCTTATTCTCCGTTGACGCCTAAACCTGCTGTTTTGTTTGTTTGTTTGTTTTTTTTTTTTCCCGCGGATCTTCAGTTGACCCCAACTCAGGCAACAGCAATCTGGGAAGGATTTGAAGACAACGCTGTGAAGCTTGCTGGAACTGGGCTGTTTCTGGGTCCGATGAAGTTTATGGTTGTTCAGGGTGACCCGGGTGTTGTCATTCGTGGCAGAATCAAGGTATACAATGCAGCGGCTATAATAATGTGCCGGTTCGCTCCCCCTTCTTTCTTCCACCAATTCTCATCATCGCTGCTCCAACGACGAGACTCTGACGTGGTTTTCCCTCTTGCAGAACCCTATTGTTGGTGGTTGCTGCATCAAGAAGACGGTCTCTGCAATGGTGATGGGCATTTTCGAGGAGCCTGTAGCTCCAGCTGACTGCAATATGGTTGTTGAGAACATGGGTGATTACCTCTCCGGCCAGGGTATCTAGGATGCTGTGAGTCAAGATAATGGCTCATGTGTATGCTGCAAGCATCCCAAAAGCCAACATGGGACCTCTTTCGTATTTAGTGAGACACCCTGTGCACTGATGCATCTCAGCATGGCGGCTACCGGTATCCGTGTAAGCTAGGTCTTCTTAACGTCACTGGCGGGTGTAGGGGCTGAATCTTTAGGCATCTTCGTATGCATTCATGAATTTACTTGTATCCTGCTACAGAAAGTGGTAAACCATCGTGAAGTGCATATCCTGAGGAGGGCGATAATGGCTAGTGCCAGATTAGTCTCTTGCAATACCTTCGACACGTTGTAAGTGTCAAACATATCTTTATATGTTGTTATAGACTCCATAGGGTTGGTGCCATAGAGAGTGCAACCCACTTGGTTATACTCTCTTGTATGCCTTTTCTAGTCATTCGTTAACTTTGATATGGTATCATGAGAAGGTTAGGTCCCCCCCGCTCACGAGCGCTTCCGCCATAAGTCCTTGTTAGAAGGCTAGCTTAACTAGGAAGCTAGGAAAGGCATGAGGTTTAGCTAGGAGGAGCCATGGAGTGGCGTGAGGTTTCGGAAGGAGAAAAGTTGAGAGAAAAGAGAGTTGGAATAGAAAGAGAGAGGCATACAAGGAGGGGATTGTACCCTCTACAGTAAAGTTCGGTACCCTACCAGGCCTAACAATTATATAACTCAATATATAATTTGATACTCCCTAGGCTTGGTAGTCACAAGCCCACACACACCCCCACACCCCCTAACCTAGCACCCCCATTCCAGCCACAGTGACAGCGACACTAGCTCGGTCGACCCCTCGGCGCGTGAGGCGGCGACGTCGACCGCAGGGGCTGCGGCGGCGACGGCGGCAGCGGTGGCAGTGTCGACAGCGGCGGCGGCGGTGGCGTGCGGCTGCGTGGCCCCGACGCAAGCGGCGACAGCGGCGACGGCGGCGGCTTCGACAACAGCGATGGCGGCGGCGGCGGCGCCCGCACCTCTCGGTGACGTGGCCAGGCCCCGCGACGGTGGGACGGCCGGCGGGAGTCAGCCGTCGTCTGCGGAAAGGAAGAGGACACAGGGGAAGGGGGGGGGGGGGGGAGGGGGGGGGGGGGGCGCCACAGGCTGGCATGCGGGCGGCCGATCTACAGTAGCGGCTCCACAGGCGTCGCGCGGCCGGCTGCAGCCCGACGACACCGTCACAGAGCGTCGTCGACGCCGCGGCGGGACGTCGACGCTGCGACGGAAGCACGACGACCCGACTCCACGGCAGCGCGTCGAGACGGCCGCGGCACGACGCGGCCAGCGGCATCACGACGCCGCCACTGCAGCAAAACGCGGCCGCCATGGCCGCGCGAGCGAACGAGGGTGAGGAGTATGCGGCGGAAGCGTGAGGAGGTGGTCCACCAGGGAGGAGCTCCTGCTCTGATAGCATGTTAGAAGGCTAGCTTAGCTAGGAAGCTAGGAAAGGCATGAGGTTTAGCAAGGAGGAGCCATGGAGTGGCGTGAGGTTTAGGAAGGAGAAAATGTGAGGAGAGAAAAGAGAGTTGGAATAGAAAGAGAGAGGCATACAAGGAGGGGATTGTACCCTCTACAGTAAAGTTCGGTAACCTACCAAGCCTAACGATTATATAACTCAATATATAATTTAACAGTCCTAGCCGCCCCATCGCCCTCCCGCGTGTGCAGACCCGTCCCTCATTCGGCCCCGCCACCTAGCCGGCCCCGTCGCCTAGTCGGCCACGTCGCGTAGCCGGCCCCATCACCTTGCCGGCCCCGTCCGTCGCGTAGCCGCTCTCGTCGTCTAGTCGGCTCCGTCACCTAGCCGGCCCCGTCGCCCAGCCGGCCCCATCGCGTAGCCGGCCCTGTCACCTAGCCGGCCCCGTCACCTAGCCGGCCCCGTCGCCTAGCCGGCCCCGTCACCTAGTCGGCCACCGTCGCCCAGCCGGCCCCGTCACCTAATCGGCCCCCGTCGCCCAGCCGGCCCCGTCACCAGGGCCTCAGATTTCATGATGTTTTATCCTGAATTCCTGATTTTCAGGATGCCTGTTAGATGCCAATCCTGAAAAATCCGTTTAAAGCGAGAGACTATAATAGTGACCCCCCTTTCTAGTTGGGCCCAACTAGAAACGACCCAACAGTAAATATGTTTTTGGAGGGGCGGGCAGCAGCCCCCGTTTTTTACCAAGCCGTAGGCCACGAAATCGAATTGCGCTTGCGACATTTCGCACTGGCGACAAATTTTACGACCATAGATTTGCGCGGTTAGCATTTCGACCAATCGGGGCCCAGCCTCAGTTTTGCTGGAGTAGTGAACTCGGGTCCAACTTGAAATTCAAGTTGGACCCACTTGGTGCAGCTTACAAGCAGTGGGGGCTGGGCGACAGGTGGCGCGCTGCTTGCGATTTTGCCCAGACCATTTTCCATACTGTACGACATGTTTTCCCCGCCAACCAATCAGGTAACTGCATCTTCTCGCCCAGTTTCCTCTGCTTGCATTCCTCGACAGTGTACCCTCTGCCCCATCGCAGTTTTGTCCCTTAGTCGCAAAAACGGACGTCTGGGCCTTTTCAAGTTGGACCCGCCTTCACTATTTTGACCTCTCGCTTTAAGTTAATTTTCCACCCTGTGAATTCAGTTTTGAATCATAGTGCAACCCTGAAGTTTCAGTATTGTGTTCGTGTACCAGCCCTGATGTGTCAGTATGCTTTTGGGGATAACACTGATTCATCAAATCTTGCGAATGCACGTGCCCTACGGGCGCATGCTTTGTTTTTTTCCGTAAAACAAATTTCGTCGAAGTCCTCGATGCTAGAGTCAATCCTCCAAGCAGCCCCACGCTACTCTGTTTTGGCTAAGTCCTTAGTGCTAGAGACAATCCTCGAACGAAACCCAACCCCCCCCCCCCCCCCCCGCTACTCTAAATTTTCGGTGAAGTCATCAATCCTAGAGACAATCCTCCACGAACCCCCCTCAACCCGAAAATATCGGCGAGCTAGACATTCCTACCCGTTTTAGCGTAGTCTTCCGCACACACTGTATTCAAACCCCCCAAAGTCTCAACATACGATTCACTCTCGTCGACGATCGAACGGCCCAAATTTCTGGTACTTCACTTGAACAGATCTTGGCCATCAAATTCGCAATGCCCAAAATTCCCTGGAGCTCCCAAACATCCAAACTCAAACGGGCCGTCAGAACAGCTCAAGGGCAAATGTTTCACGTTCGCCCACATGCCTTCGACTTTCCTCTAAAAATTCAGACGTGACATTTTTCAACTGAGGGCGTGTCTCAACGCCGACACAAGTCACGCTAATTCATGTAAAGACTGCACTGACGGGCAAATTCGACAAGCGAAATCCCTAATGACACGAAAAGGGCCTGACATCGGTTCACAAAGCAATAGGCCCTGAACAATCAGACTGCCGGAAAAATTCCCGGCCTGATTTGCTGCGTGCGTAGATTTTCGCCAATTTTTGATCAATAGTGGCTA